TTCCAGAATGCAGGCCTGAAATGGAGGAGGGCTATGGGACTGATAAGGTAATCAAGATTGGTGAGTGTTTAAGGTTTTATATATGATTGATAATATAAAAACCCATGGGAAGCTGCTAGAAGGAATATGTTGGAAACAAGTGGGGTGATAGGGAGAAGCCATGTTTGTGGGATGCAGAAAGAATCTCCATTTACAAATTCCTACTCATGGAATAAATCTCCCATTTCTTCCGTGTTAAGCAAATGTAGATGCACCAAGGCAATTATCTAGCCGTTGTTTCTTGGGTCTGAAAGTTCTCCGAGAAGATTGATGAGGAGTCATCATGAGGTGCTCCTTTAACATGCGTTCCATAGTTGATTGATTGAAAAGATGGTTTGGTGAACATCTGTGAAGAGCAATCCAATTTCGGTCGTTTGTGAACCAATGAAAACAGCATAAAGGGAAAACACAATGGGAAGTGCATGAGTTGACAAATGTTGAATATGATGAAGCACCATCGTTTTATGAAATTCTCTTTGAAGGAATTTAAATCAAAAGAACCCATTCAGATGCCATTTTAGGTCAACCGTGCCATCTTTTCTGATCACCTTTTCAGGTAATTTCAGAACCACTGTTCTCTTCCCCGTTACACTGGTCCATGTGTCTGACCAAATTATAAGGCCAGACTCAGCCATCCAGAATTCTCTAAATATCGATTTCTGTTATTTTGTTCCCTCTTCTTGTTTCACTTTTCCGGATTTTGCCACCCCGGCAAGATACTTTTGATACTTTGGTGTTCATAATAATATACCTTGCGATGTCAACACTCAATAGCTGATCTGGGCTTAATAAAATGATAATCTACCAAGAATATATACGTATTGGCCATCCTTTTCACTTTCCTTTGCTGCGCTTAACCGTCCATTCTTAGTTCACATCGCATACAAAAAATCATGCATCCTTTGTTGGACTGAGATTGATCAACAGGTGTGTCTTTAATAATATTAATTAATAAAGTTCTGAGATTAAAGAACTTGATGAGACGCCTATCTTTATAGCACTCGTGAACTGTGCAATATGCAAGTACGATTATGAATCTGACATGTCCATTAAGGACTGCTAGTGCTGATTAGAACTATGATAAAAAGCCCACCTGTTCATTTCTATCATTGGATTGAAGTGTTGGAAACCTTTTGATGCTGGAAGGTATTCACGCTGACTCTGGATGAGCTGTAAAAATTAACTTACCTGTACACTAAAATTCACTTTGAGATAAAGGTCTAGAAAAGAAGGATAAAACGCACTTTGAGATAAAGAAGACTCAAAGAGAGAATTAGCAAGCCCTTATTTGATTATCTTCATTGAGCAGAATATTTTAGTTTTAAATTTCCTGAGAACCAACTATACTTGTGTGAATACTTGACACTAAAGGCCAGGCCAGAACCTGAGAATCTTTGGCCTTTAAGCAACCTTTTCACCAAGCTATTCTGCAAATTTCTGTCCTTTTTATGAAATGGGTTTCTAAAAAGCAGTCCGTATTTCATCCTCTTGAACCTGCATGAATTGTAATCATCTTGGAATCAACCATGCGAAAAACAAGAGCAGTCACACACGCAGATCTTGCACCAAGTAATGGAAGTACGGATTTGGGTAGTAAAACAGCTGCCTTCCTCATGGTCTTGACCATTGTTTGTGGCCTATTTTGTTTCGTTCTTTGCCTTATAGCTGAAGCAGCTCGTTCCCAGGTAACCCTTAAACAAAAGCATTTGAAATACACCTTCCACGACAGCCATATGTGATATATAACTTTGCGGGGGTATGATCTTGTAGGTGACATGGGTGAACTCTGATAGAAAAGAAAATGACAAGGATTCCCAATGTATATACACTGGCAGTGGCAAGATACCATTGTTATGCGCTGCTATTGCATTTGTAGGTCTAGCAGTCGCTATGGTTGTGGAACATATGTACATGTTGATAGCTGTGAGCAAAGCAACGCCTCCGGCTCTAGTTGTTTGGGACTCCAATTCTGCTTATTCCAAGAACATCACATGGAAGGCAGGATTTTTGTTTGTTACAACTTGGTATGATTAGTCAATTTTTGCTGCAGGTTTTGCAATTATCAGTCATCTCAACTCTTGCCAATTATCTCAACCATTAATGTAAATGATTTTTAACAGGATATGCTTTGCTGTTGGGGAAATCTTGTTGTTAATTGGGCTGAGTGTGGAATCAGGGCATTTGAAGAATTGGTCTAGACCAAGGCCGAATTGCCTCATCATTAGAGAAGGCTTGTTCTCTGCTGCAGGAATCCTTGCATTGTTAACAGTCTTCTTTGCCGCCGGATTCTACTTGACTGTATTATGTGCACAAAGAATGATCCAAGAGCAAGAAAACACACGGAGAGAGATACTTGAGGCCTCTGCCCTCTACGCGTCTCCGCCAAGGTCACCTCAACATCAAATGATCACTTCCATTGCGAGAGAGAATCCAGTTGTTAGAGAGGATCAGATTGAGCAATCATCATTCACATATCCACCAGCTTTCGCCAAGCAGTTACATTTGGTACTGTAAGCACGAAAAGGATATTCATGTTGGTGCCCTTAGCTGCTTTAGCAAAGCCAGAGGCAGAAGCTAGAGATCTATGGCACGTAATCATGTGGAGGGAATTTGTATATTTACATGAAATTCGGATTGGTATAACTTTTCTTAATATTTTCTTGTAATATTAACCTGGTGAGAGTTGAGGGTTGTTTTACGGCAAAAAAAAAAAAAATGAAAAGAAAATTACGGTCATGTATCTATTATAGAATATTCTAGATAGGACCTCCATTACGCTGCTAGCCTGTAGATTGTTTTCAATATAAAAAATTGCTAAAATAACAGTTTTTCTTTAAAAAAAGCAAAAAAAAAATTGAGACACAAAATACTGACTCGATTAAATTTAATAAGTTTAGTTAATTTAAATAATACAATAAAAAATATAACAATAATAAATAAATTAAAAAAATAACAGCAAAAAAAAGTTAAAAATACTTGATATAAATCCATCTGGGTTAGCATGTCAAATTTACAACTTGATTTTAATGCAAGATAATCCTATTGAAATCAAATTAAATAAAATTATAAAGTTCAATTATCAAACAAGAAGAGTAAAACTAATAAAAAAATAAAAAATTAAGTCAACTCAGGTTAATCTACTAGCCTGAAAAATATAGGCACAAGATTAAGATAACTTCATATAGAAAGAAAAGTTAAAAGTAAAACATAAAGATTAATTCTTAATAAATTAAATGTTGTAGTGTGAAACTAAAAAGAATTAAAAAAAAATCAAAATCAACTTATATTAACTTTTAAAACTCAGAACTATGGTCATGAGTCTAAAACTAACTCCATAGAAAGACAACCCAAAAAAAATGATGAGGCAAAACTCTAAGTCAACAAAATATTGAAATAAAAAAAATAAAAAAAATGTAATAAGAAAAAAGATTCGTAATAAAAGAAATGATAATTAAAAAAATAAAAATTAAATTTAATATAAAAATAATTTAAAATCAAATGTTAAGAGATTAAATTCAAAGTAAGATTCAATTAGAAAAAAAAATAATAAAGCAGTGATCAAAAGAATAAAGATCATATTTAATATAAAAATTAAATAAAACCAAATAATAAATGAGAAAATTAAATAAAAAATAAATCAAAAAAGAATAAAAATAAAAAAAATAACAATCAAACAAATAAGGATCAAATTGGATATAAAAAATAAATAAAATGACACATTTATATTTTGATAAAAAAAAAGAGGAAAATAAAAAAATTTATGTGAATCAACTACTATGCCACACTACCAAAAAGAACTTAGATGCTTTTAGTGTTGTCACTCGGTTATTAATGCTTGTAATTTTTATTTTTAAAATAATATTTATATTTATTAAAAGATTAAAATAATCTATCAACCTAATAATTACCAAAAAAACTAGTTTGAAAACATAAAACATTCTTAGATGTTAGTTAGAAAAATTTTACTTGTAAAGGTAATATGCCCTTACATTTTGCTTTTAAAATATAAGAGCATCTAATTGTTCGTTATAAGTCTTATAATTACTAGGGGATTTTAAAAAAGAATATAGCATTACCTCCAATAGTAACTGAAGTTCATTGATTTTTGTTGGTGGATAAAACAGTAATATGCATCTGGAATCACAAAATCTTCCTTGCCAATCAAAATGTTTTTTTTAATATATCAAACAATATTATACTGAAAAAAAATAAACAGGCAAAAAAAAGAGAGTTTTTATTAATTCAAGCAAGTCATTTGATAATATATTAACATATAAAATATATTTTTATGAATGCACAAATCATGTTCAAGACCCGATTGGATAGAGATACATAGTTTTGACGTGCGAGGATTAGTTTTAATATATCTCTTTACAGATTAAAAAAAGAAGAAGTTATTAATCGTATAAAAAGCAAAAGGTCAAATAAAGCAATAAAAATACATTAAATATTACACACACACACACTAAAAAAAACAAAATATAAATTTAATTTGGAGAGATACAGGAATTTTGGGCATTTGTTTTCATATGCTATATACGAATGGAATTATCTCCAGTTCATGAATACTTACTCATACGTACTCGATCTAATATGTATGTATGTATGTATGTATGTATTGACAATCACATTAAATATGATATTGTTTAGGTGATTTAGTGAAATGAGATTAATATATTAAAATGAAATTAAGTAAGCGATGATCAATCAGTGCATGGAAATCAATTTAAGTGGATAGAAAGGATGGTAGTCCCTATAGTTATTTTTCGATTTAAGAGTAACAAGCAATCACAAGAGATAAGAAGGGGAAAATAGAAATGAAATGAATCAGATTGAGAGTAATTAAGGAGTAAAAAAAACAAGGATGGCAGATGGAAATCAGTGGTGAGGCGTTTTCTTGAGCCAAGTTTGTCTTTGTAGATCAACAATCAACCATCTAATTAATTGGTGTATAAAATTACTGTAATAAAATAGTAATCCAAGACTTTATACGGCAATAAAATTCAAAACTTCAATGGAACCAACAGTGCAAGAATCAAATCCATAAAAAACCTTTACAGGGAAATAAAATTCATAAAAAAATGAGTCACTAACTCGCCTCTTTACGAACAAATTTAACAAAATAAAATAATGAAATGAACGTCTAGAGGGGCCTGCCAAGGAAAACCTTCTTGTATCCAATGCTCATCTTCAATATCTGGAAGCTTTACTGCGAATTCAACTTGTTTCATCAAATATCATCACCTGTAAGAGAACATGTATCGCATAAGTTTCAGATATACCTCGTAATTCTCCTACCGTTGTGTAATATAACAATGGGGCTTGAAATGAAGGCGGTACGCGTTATTTTATCTTTTTAATGATTATTGAAAGAATTTCTTAGATCAAAACCAACCAAAAACAGGGTAAAAAGGGTCCACGTTACCTTGCCACAAACAGGACAGGTTTGGCTTCTCTCCATCCACTCGTATATACAACTAAGGTGGTAATGGTGGTTACATTGCATGACTATCCTTGGATTTTCAACACTGTACTCTGCCGACAGATATTTCAAATGAGAAAATCAACAGACTCCACCCAAATGATAAGAAAGTTTGATGAAAACGTGAACGATTGATCACCTTCGAGGCACGTGGGACAAACATCCTCCTCGTCTATGGATGCATGAATGTAACGATATCCAGGTTCTGCCTCTTCTTTTGAGACGCTAATTGGGGCCTTTGAGTTGTTTTCACTTGATTTACCTTCTTCGGGCACAAATTCTAGGACAGTACAGTCCCTACCTTGCGCTGCTCGTTCTGTTTCTTGGTGTGTTTGGCCTGCGGTATTGGAGGGTCCGGGATTGGCTTCGAATGGCAAGATTCCTGGAGAAATCATGCTAGTTTCGGATTGTGTAATATTAAATACTGCTGCATTGGATTCCACTGAAGGGGTTGGTGGCCCTCTGTTGTGTGCAGGGAGGGCAAGAGTTTCCTCGTTGCTGAATACTGCTGCGTACTGTGAGCAAAGGACGGTGTGAGATGCATCATGGGAAATGATATAGAAGGAAAGTGCACGTTTTCAATTAGAAATAACAGCAAATTCACTTGAAAATAGCTGCGAATCAGCTCATGAATAGGACAGTTTGGTGTGTGAAATTGGAGCGATAATTCTGGCTTTGATTTCTTAAAAATTAGCATGATTACTAATCATTTGAGAATATAGAAAGCCAAGCTGTACTGTTTGATTAACTAGAAGATATACCTTGTTGAATAATGTGTACATGAAGCCCCTGTGGGAACTGTTGACATTCTCTCCTGGGTCATCATTATGAAAGCAACAACAAAGAGAAACCATTATCCAGCTCCGAATTTCCTCTGCAGTTAAATAATGCAATTGCTCCCTTTAAATTTAGGCTCTGAATTAATATATGCAATCTAAAATTTGATCAGTTCCGAAAGAAAAGAATACTTAGCTACTTTGCCAATCTGGTAATTGAATCAAAAGAGTAACCCACGAATGTATGGTAATTATATGCTATAAGAAATTAAGAATGAATTGAACCAAAACCAAAGTTTGACATAAAGAATATTACAACCTTCCACATCATAGCAAAGGTATCAAACAATAATAATGGAAATAGCAGAAATCGCTTACTTCAGTTGTGGTTAAATAGTTGAAGGGTAGTGATCTGATAATTATTAATCATATGGAGAAGGGGAAAAAACAAGAAGCTTTTGTTCTAAATACAATTAAAGGTAATGCAGTTCTGGCTAGATATCAACAGCAACATGAGAGAGGGTGGATCATTAAATATTGTTCATGAAGATGCTTATGGAGGATGATGATGACATACAGTTATTATGATGATCATCGGAAACAGATTGATCACCAGGACTTGTGAAACATGATGTATTTGTGGATTAATTAAGAGAAGACAGACACATACCTAGTGATCAGAACACAGAGAGATCAAAGAAAGAAGAGTGCCGCTGATCAACTAGCTAGGAATTAATACTATTCGTTGACACCGAAAACATCATTAAAAAAAGGAAAAGATTTAGGGAGGAAGAAACCAAAAATAGAAGGATAAAAAGAAGACTGGGAAAAGACATCCGAATTGGACTTGGACTAGTACTATCAAGATTCGCAAGTCGAGACTTTGTGCTTGAAGACGACCCGTTGCGACGTAGGATTCTTCGCCGACATAAACGAGAGAAACGAAAAGGATTTTGTGGGTCCTTCTTGCCAACTTTTTACTACAGGCCATTGTCTCGCTGTCTCTTGTCGACCCAAACTCTTGGACCAGAATCAGCCCAGAACTTATTGGTCTCGATTATCTGCGTGCAGTGCCTGACCCAGACAGAATGGCCCAACCGAAATATACGCAACAATCAAATTATACGACGCCATAATGCAGAAACATCACTGGTAACTTCAAGGGATGGCCCGGAGTTTAAAGAGGATTGCTTGATACTAGTTCTCAGGTATATGGACTCTATGAGTTTTGTTAAATATTATTATATCAGTAGCTCTATATTCATGAATTATAGTTAAAATATTGAAAAAATATAACATTCACGGCTTAAAAAAGTAGAGAAAAAAAATAGAACGTTCATTTGACATTCACGGCTTAAAAAGGTAGAGAAAAAAAATAGAACGTTCATTTGTAATAGTTAATAAAAAAAACGATAGAGGCTTTTTTAAAATTATAAAGGGATTTACAAGCAATACTATAGTCATGTTTTTATTTTTTATTGAATCAAATATAAAAATTGAAATCCACGATCTATAAATTATGTGAATGAGGGGGAAAAAGTGCTATTTTTATGTAGACTTAAAGTCAAAGGTTTTTCTATGGTGGTGTTCAAAAAAAAAAAAGTTTATTGTGCTGTAAAAAGAAAGGGAAAACATCAAATATACCACTATTCGAGTATTATCATTTTTACATTTAAACTATTTTTTATATCAATTTTATCACTACACTAGCGTGGTTTCTCAATAAAGAACTTTTATTAAAATCCTTAACGGAAACATTAATATTCAACAAAAATGATGTCGTCGTTTTCTATCCAAAGAATAGTGCAATTTGAATAAAAATAAATATTGATGACATGCTTAAAAATAAATGGAAGTCCTTAATTTTAAATCTTCTAAAACATTGTGTAAAATTGATATAAAGAATCATTTGGTGGCAATGTCAAGACTATCTACAGTTAGATGTTATTTTTTTAGGTTTACCTAAGAAGAAAATTAAGCTCTAATGGTCTGGAAAAAAAAATACAAAAAGGTGTGTTGAATATTCTATCTAGAAAATACGAAATTAGATATTGAATCGGGAAATGAAAAAAAATATGAAACATGGAAAATGAAAAAAAATAAATTGGAAACTTATATTAGAAAAAGGCTAGCTAAAGAATTAAATAGAGAATACGTATTTAAGAAAACATATTGGAAATATAGAAGATCTACTTATATATATATATATATATAGTCATTTAAACAATTTAAGGTTATTATATTCTCTCAAAAGAATAAATTGCACCTACTTTCTTGACTATATATCAGGAGTCCGGGACTAGCACTTTTGCGTTCCCCTTCGAAGCAACATGTAAATCTTCACTGCCGATTTCGCTCTTTAATTTCTACCAATACGTGAGTGTGTGTGTGTGTTTCTGCTGAAAATTAAAGCCAATACAATCACAAATCACATAAATTAAATGGATTTTCTGAAATTAGTTTCAGATATATTCCATTAATTACTTGGATGAACAGCACCACGATAATTGCAAAGATCGAGTGAAAGGTGGTGAGTGTAACCTAGGATCTGGAATCCAAGAAAACTTTGCCGGGGCTGCTGGCTAGCCAGTACATACATATTTCGATCGTGATTAAGGCTCGGAGCATAAATAGAAGGGAAAGTCAGGACCACCAATTTACTCCAATATCCATCCATGGAAGAATATTCTTCATGTTGCTGGATTGCCTCGCGGCGGCCACGACCTAATTCGGAAACTATGCAAGTTCCAGAAATCATCTTTACATGCACACATGCAATGCAATGAAAGGGCTGAAAGGACCTCTTACCCGTTAATTAAATCTACAAAGTTAGTGAGGGTAGTTGAAGCTTACTTTCAAAAATAATGCAAGACTTTTGCTAATTTTGCAAAGAAAAGTCTATGCATGTCCCAGAGCTCCCTTTAATTTATTCTCTGATATTCGATCTAAGCTTAACAGTGTTTTACTTTGCAAGACTACATCATCATGAGCATGGCTCTTTCCAAAAGTACTATACACAAAATTAATTCAAGAGCTTAATTTATGAGTTCATAATGTATTAATGTTCTGTGAAATGATGAAGCTCTAGCTAGCGTTTGAAGCAAGTTTGGTATATTGCATAGAACAAAACTTTATATCAATGTCCCCTACCTAAATACTAATCTTTTATTGATCGTTGCCTATGGTTGGTGACGACTGTAAATAGGATTTCTCTGATATCCTTGGCAGAATAATTACCATGATCTCACCTAATGAATCTCTTGAATTACATATCTCACCTAATCGAATAGATGCTCCGGTGAATTTTCAACTTTTTTCTTTTCTCAGTGGTCGAATTTATTAATATATTAATTTGATACTTTAATAATTTTATGATGAGGGTTTAGTGAGTCCCAAGGCTACATAAATACTAAGCACAAAAATAATCCATCTATTGCAAATTTACTTTTAACTGATTTCTTTCCTCGATTCAATGGAAAGCACCAGAAATAGCATGGCAAGGTGGGTGACATTTCTTATTTAGTAAATGTTAAATAATTTTAATTTTTTAATATTATTATATATATTAAAACAATTTTAAAATATAAAAAGTTTTTTTTTATAAAATACTATTTGGACCGTGTTGCTAAACTTCAAGATCTTTGTCCGGTCTTTATCTTTTTCAACAAGCTTGGTTATAATTACACACATTAATTCTCAATTGAATTATGGACAAGTACTCATGTTTTAACCCGTGTAATTAACATTGATTTTTTTTTTCAAATCTCTTGCTGGGTAATTAAGGAACTAATCCGTTGCTATTAGAACATAACTGATCGAGTTTGGAGATAGACTCGAAACAGAGAATGGTGAATAGCTCGACTCCAGGTCGATTAATTTCTAAGAAATCTGGTACCATGTACCGTTCAAGAGCCATTGTGCAAGAAGACCGCATTAATCCAACAGCCACCAAGCCAAACCGTGCTGGCCAGAATGATCATCACCAGCTGTTCCATGCTCCCTGTACATATCAGCAAATTCTTTCACTAGATTTGATCAAGACAGTGTATATGATCATGTATGCCTGACACCGAGGTATGAAATTAAGAAATATTAGAGTCGGAAACAAGAGTGGAAAGCACACAACGAGCAAAAACATTCGATTGCCTGCTTCAACAATTACATATGCCACGTATATTGTGAAGTATATAGCTAGCTGGTCAAATTTTAGAGTGATGGGCCCACAGCTTCATGACCAGCACGTTCCTCGATAGCCCCACAGGTACAAAATAATAAAAGAAACAGAGGACCAACATGATTAAATAACAAAAGAAAGAGAAAAAGAAGGAAAAAGCATAGCATAAATAGCCATATGGTCCATGGCTGCCCAAAGCCAGCATCTAGAAATCTGGTTCAGCAACAGGCAGCTGGCCTTTATCATTAGTGAACAATCTCCTCTCTTCTTCTTCTCCTTCTCCTCTCTTATAATTAATAATAGGTGCCTCCTTAATACCCCATCTCAGGAGATGGGCAAGATAGGCACAAGACTACCAGGTTTCTGTCTAAACAGGATTAGGCCTCATGTTAGAGTCCGTTCACCACCTATACAAGCCAAGGCTAATTTGAATTCTACTAAAAATGATCAAAAGACAGAGAATCCTGAGAATGTCGACCTTGGAGAAGAGAAGTCCGGGAAGTCGGAGCTGGAAAAACCCGTGGAGTTACTTGGTAGGAAAATCATGATTGTGGTTGATTCAAGTATTGAAGCTAAGGGAGCTCTACAATGGGCACTCTCTCACACTGTTCAAAGCCAGGATCTTGTTATTCTTCTTCATGTAACCAAAGCATCATCCAAACAAGGTTGGTGTGCGGAATGTTATTTTTTTTTAACTTCTACATCATGCAACCATATATATTCTGAGGCAGTTTAACTGAAGGGTTTTAACATTTCTGACTGCAGCCACAGGGGAAGAGCCCCGAAAGGATAGAGCTCCTAGGGCTTGCGAGCTTGCAAATTCTCTGAAAAAAATGTGTCAGTTGAAGAGACCTGAGGTGAGTGTGATTAGTTCAGTTTAGGTAGCTTGTCTTATCTTATTTATTTATAGACATTGGGATATAAAACGTGGTGGCTTGCACATGCAGATACAAATTGAGATTGCAGTGGTGGAAGGAAAAGAGAAAGGTCCATTGATAGTGGAAGAGGCCAAGAAACAAGGAGCGGCACTTCTAGTTCTGGGGCAGAAAAAGAGGTCCATGACTTGGCGGCTGATCATGATGTGGGCAAGCAATAAAGTCACTGGTGGTGTGGTGGAATACTGTATCCAGAATGCCGATTGCATGGCAATAGCTGTGAGGAGGAAAAGCAAAAAACATGGAGGTTACTTGATCACCACTAAGCGTCACAAAGATTTCTGGCTCTTAGCTTAACTATAATAAACATATGTAGCATATCAATTTGATGTTTCCTTTTTCTTGTGGAGTTTTTGTTTTGTAACATTGTTTGTAAATTAATGATAAAGTCTGCTCTGCTGAGAAATTATCAAAAGGGGACGGGGATTAGGGTGCGAATGAAAAGTTAAGGTGTGTAATTATGCAGGGCATCTGCTATTATGGCTAAGGGAGACACAGTGGGGTCCCTTGACTCCTTTAGGGTCTCCTCCGTATGCTACAGTAACTTTCTAAAGCGCATGCTCCCTGAGCGTTTTTCATGACTGCAATACTCTGTTAGGTGAGGCCATGGACCATGGCTGGGGTACTCCCCGTGATCCTCCTAGAACCGCCATTGTTGTCACTTGAAGATAAGATGCTATTCTTGCATGGTTGAGGACGTACTCTTGAATTTGAGGATGCAACTTTAATGGGACCAACTACGACTATAATTGTTGACATTGTAGGATTAATTTTAGACAAATCAAATTGCTGCACTTCCTCGAAGTGCCCTGTCCTTCGTAAAGAAGTCAAATGAGTTCGAATGCTACAGGTTCAAGCTAGTTAGGTTTGATTTCATCAAAACCAATCAATTACTAGAATCAGTTTGTCAAATCCATCTGAACAGATTCGTAATTGAATCGGAGAAGCGATTGATCGGTCAAAACCCGAGTAGTTGACTTTCCTTTTTACTCGAAATGAAAATCAGATCCATGGATCAGCCGAAGGACCCAAAAGGTTGATTCAATAACACGACGACTTGGAGATCTTGATGCTCGGCTGGTTCAGGTTAAAACATGGTGGCATCTTAACTGAAACCAGAGCTAATTTTGATGCCTCTGCTCACATGGCTCAGTATTCAATAGACAATATGTTCATTATGAGTTGGGTCAGGTGTTTGCTTTTTCTTCGGCAATGCATCGTGTACTGCCGAGTCCTTCTCCACGAGCACTTTTCTTTTCATGCCAGCCCCACACCTAGCCTCTGAATTCAACACAAATGTTTGGGCGTTGCCGTATACATTCTGATCAGAGGTTGAAAGCCCGGAGGGTGGTCCATTCCATGGCCAGCAACGGCACTAATCATTCAGGCAGTGTCAGCCTACAGGGCAGATAAAGTCAATTCCAGAGAGAACTGATTTACCCAATTTGTTACGTGCATCTGATACGAGTGCGGTCACCAGTAGCTGATTGTTTGGTAGCTCCATTTTTTTTTCAATTTTTTTTTACATTAATAAATATATTATTGATGTTTTTATAAGCATTTTTTATTGTTTTGATTTATTAATATCTAAAATAAATAAATAAAATTTTAAGTGAGAAATATTTTTAAAAAACATAATGTATCATAATATTAAACAAACATAAACAAATCATGTTATTATAATTTATTTTTTATATGGTTATTACAGTATCAAAAAAATATTCCAACAACGGATTGATAGCAGAAAAATATCTCAGTATCACGGTATAGTTTAATTTTTAAAAATTTAGTTAAATAAATTTTAAAAAAGAATTATGTTATTAAATTTTATGTAACCAAATTTTTTTTTTAAAATTATGTTATTAAATTTTATGTAACCAATAACTTAATTTGCGAGTTTAACAAAATAACAATGATTATACAATTTGCAAGTTTAAAGGGGTATATTTTTTATTCTTTTTTTAAATGAATTAGATTAAGTGATCATCTATTTTTTTTTATCATATAGCTTAAAAAATAGTTTTTTTTAATAAAAACATGTTATTAAATTTTAAAAAATCTATGGGTCTATTGACAAATTTTGGGAGCTTAACTTTTTTTTTTATCATTTAATATTATATCGATTGAAAATTGAGTTATATAATCTGTTTCGTTTTGTTTTCGATAAAGTTATTAATTTTTTTTTTAAAAATCTAAGTATTAGATTGACCCTCAATTTTATAATTTTTCATTTTTGTTTTCATATAAATAAATAAACAATAATTTAAAAAATTTATATAAATAAATAAACAATAATTTAAAAAAAAACAAGTTGTTAATCTTAACTGAGCCCATTACTTAATTTATAGGTTTTATATGTTGATTTAGATTACTCAATTCACAAGTTTAATATATTTAACTATTAAACCTTATATTTTTTTAATATATTTTTTTTTATCTTTTATTTATTTATTTAATATTAAATTAGTTAAAAAATAAAATTCATAATTTGTTCTTTTCTATTTTAAAATTTTCCATATAAAATTACATCTTTATTGTAAATGATGATTTTAAAAACAAGTTTAGGTTGAAAAAAACATGAAAATATACTATTTTACTGTAACCATAAAAAATTACTCCAGAGACTAAAAATCATCAATTGTTTTTTAAAATAAATCATAGTATTGTATGTAAAAATTTTGATTGATTATTATACCACTAATAAAATACTGATATTGTAAATTATATCCAATACTGATATGTAAATCTCACACCATGTCTAGTTAAGGTTTAAACAACATTCAAGGAAAATACTTGACATGGACGTTATTAAATCCTAAAAAGTAATCCCGATTTCTTACATCGATGAATCCCATTAATATCAATCGCTGATTTACTATTATATTTTGTGAGAGTTTAACATATTACAATTACAAAATATACTCTAACGAAGCCAAATTATTTATTTATTTCAACCTTTCGTGTCTAATATTTGTTTAAGAAAGAAAAAAGATTCAATGATAAAGTGTCAAGGTACAAAAACAAAAAGAAAATCCATGACCAATAAAAAATATAGGGGAAAGTTCTTTTCCATCCTCATACTTTCCTCTTTATTTTTTCACAGTCCTATGATTTTTTATAGTTTTATTCTGGGTCCAAAAACTAATTTTTTTAACATTTAAATCCATGAGTTAGAGGGGTAAAATAGAAAGTTGTATGAAAAACAATAATGAGAAAGAAAATGCTTGGTTTAACCCTCTTTTTACTAAGAAAATCATTAGTTTTTGTGTTAATGGGTTATCTAAAAGCTTAATAATGGTGAGTTTATATATAAATATACATAAAAAATATGTTGAGCTTTATTTTTATTTTTTTAATTGATTTTTTTTTGGTTTAATGAGGTTTTCATGATATTTATTAAATGTGCTTTTTATATGAAAATAAGTTGTAAAATAAATTTTCAATCCAAAAACCTCAACTTTAAATTTTTGAGCACAAATAGTTAGACAATGTGTTGGTGCCTTGCAGGGTCCATAAATTGTTTATTTACTTTTTTTTTTTAAAATAAAAAATAAATATCATGTTGTTTTTTTATTTTATATAAAAAAAAACTCAAGCACTTAGACTGGACCATCTTCAAGGCCTAGATGTGCTAGGCCATTTAGACTCACTCACTTGACATTTTTTTATATTTTTAATTTTATTTTTTAATATTTATTTAATTTTAATTCAGTCTTCAATTTTTTTTTTGTTGGATAAGCAGAGAGGTCAATTTTTTTTTGAATTTGATACACTAAACTAAATTTAATGTCATACCAAAAAATTTCCCATTATTTTAAATAATTTTTTTTATATTAAGTTTTTCTAAGTCGACTTGCAATGTAACACGGTAAATACCCGGAAGGTTCACTGAAAATATAGAAAGTAAGTATTTATTTATATAGTTCGGTTTAATGGGATTTGCTTGCTTAGAAAATGGAAATATAGGCCCATGTTTATACGTTTGTTTGGAAAATAGGCCCATGTTTATATGTGTTTGGAAAACAATTTAAGTGAAAGCCGAAGAAACAAACCAAAACCCTAAACCCTCAAATTCACGGGACTTCCTCCCATCTCTACTATCTCTGTCCCTTGCACCAAAAAAAAAAAACACAGCAATGGCAAAGACATCAAAAAGAAGCAGAAGCAGCAGCAATACAAAATCCAAGAAGAAGAAGAAGAACAGCAGGACAGCGCCAAAATCGGTTGCCATGAAAGCGAGCGCTGCATCTAATGACAACAAAAACAGCAGCAACCCTTTTGAGACAATTTGGTCCCGCCGCAAATTTGACATCCTCGGAAAGAAACGCAAAGGCGAAGAGCTCCGTATTGGGCTCTCCCGGTGCCGCGCCATTGAAAAGAGGAAGAAGACTTTGTTAAAAGAGTATGAAGAGAGCGGCAAGTCTTCTGTCTTCTTGGACAAGAGAATTGGAGAACAAAATGAACAGCTTGGAGAGTTTGATAAAGCTATCATCCGCTCCCAGCGCGAGCGTCAGGTCTTAAAAATATATACTATCGATTATTTTATTTATTTATTATTAAGTTGTATATTTTTATTACATGCGATGCTCATTTTGTTAAATTTAATTTTTTTTGGTTATAGTTGAAAAACAAGAAGAGCAAGTATAATTTATCAGATGGAGAAGAAGATGATGATTTTGGAATTCCGAATCTTGGTCCACTGTCGGGACTAGATGATTTCGAGGATGAAATCTTTTCTGATGATGATGGAGATGATGCTGACGCAGATGGGACAAGTAGTATGTATTAAAATTTTTGTTAATAAATTTGGGTTATGTTTTGCTTACAATGCTGGATGCTTTCTGTTTTTGTTATTATTGTCATGTCCAAGTTAAGCTTATGATTGCTCCATCCATGGATATATATATATATATATATATATATATATATATAAACTTCAAGCAGAAAGTGTTAAACTGGTTGTGGAATAGAAATTCTTAAGCTCAGATATTCTTCAATATGCTCCCATAGCATCCGGAAAATGTTTTCTTTTTTGATAGATGTTAATTGAACGGGTCATGGAAAAGTGATGTGACCTATTGAAGTTCATCTCTCTCTTTTTTTTTTTTTGTTTCCAAGGAATTTTACATAGAATAACAGAAAGTGATTCAATTTCCGCATTCTATCATATTTTAAAGTGTCTGACCTTATTTTGGTTTTTTTTTTCCTTTTCCTTTTTGTACATTCAATTTAGTTTTACCAGGGCGCAACATGTCTTAGTTTTTAGTAGACACTTGCAGTTGTAGGAAACCTGTTCATTTAATGCCATTGATTTTCACCATCTCAATCCAGATTTCTGTTGTTGATTATTATGCTAAGATTGCAAAACCTTCTTATGTTATTCCTTTGATTTATTTGGAATTTTGCTAATGATCACCAGTGTTGTCTTTCCTTTTCTTTCCAGATAAACCAGCCATCTTAAAGCAACTTAATGCTCATGGCTTGCCGCAGGATGCAGTGGACGGGGAGGAAAATGTGAGATCCACTTTGTGACCTCAGTTTTGTGCCATTAATATATCAAAATATGAGTCCATTATCTATGATTCTCATGGCTAAATTATACGTCCTGAAATGTAGACAACTGAGATGTTACTACAAGCTTGTTATATCTAATTTTGCTGTCTTTTGAACTCTTGTATATCTAATATTGCTTAACCCTGATACAAAGCATAACTTTACCTTTGCAGAAACCCAAAACTAAGAAGGAAGTGATGCAGGAGGTTATTCTGAAGAGCAAGTTTTTCAAGGTGTTTTTTTGTTTTCATCTTAAGAAAACAGCTTTAAAATGAGACATCTGTTTTCTGATTTAGTTTACATTTTAACCCTTTTTTTGCAATTGTGGCCAGGCTCAAAAAGCTAAAGATAAGGAAGAAAATGAGCAATTGATGGAAGAATTGGATAAAAGCTTCACATCTTTGGTGCAGTCTCAAGCCTTGTCTTCTTTGACAGAACCAGGCAAAATGAATGCCTTGAAGGCCCTTGTCAATAAGGACATTCCTAACGAGCATGTAAAGAAGGATGAGTTACCAGTTATTCAAAAACCTGAAACTTTCAAGCAGGTAGTTTCTTTTATACGGTTCTTGATCTTGAAAGCCTTTTCAAGTTGCTAAATTTAATTACTTCCTGAGTTTGCTACTTCCTGTTTGAATGTTTAAAATTTCTATCTTCTTTTTTCTATTATTTTACTCTACACCTTGGCATGCCACATTGTTGTCAATTATGGAAGCATTATCCTATGAAGGCTTTTATACCTATTCTGTTGATTAAGATGGATTCCTTTTATACCTTTGTTACCTGAGGTGGTAATTTGTTCACTTTTCCTATGTAATTTGAAGCAGTAAACGAATAGCTGTTAATATTGACTTTGCATAATTCTGAACTCTTGAAGTTGATCCCTTTCTTTTTATATATATATACATGATTTGCAGCAGGAACAACCTGATTCTTATGACAAACTCGTTTACGAGATGGCGATAGATTCACGTGCACGGCCATCGGACAGGACAAAGACACCGGAAGAAATTGCCCAGAAGGAGAGAGAACGACTAGAGCAACTAGAGGCATGTTTCTTCTCACTCATTTGAAAGCATCTGCATATGCCTGAGCAGAAAAGCACGCATACATGCTTGGCAGCATGGCATTACTACTATTATTACTCTGACTTGGTGGATTCTTGTTGATCTTGGATGTTCAGTGTGAAATGGTACTTCATATTGCCATTAATTTTCTGTCATCTTTCATAGTCCACCAAACTGGAAAACCAAAAGGACTGTCTTTAAAATCATCAAGCACATCAGTAGCTTTTGGGAGGCAACTGTTGAGCTGCTTGACATCTGACAATTAACTATGTTGATTTCCAATGTTCACTTATTTCTAGTAATGGCAGTCTAATTATGTGAAGAGTTGGATGGTGACACTTTCCTTGTGCATGCGCTGGCACTCTTCTGCTAGAGTTTTGGAATGCATGTTAGTTTTCATGGAGTTATACTTTTGACAAGCTCTACCATGCTATGTTCTATGGAGTTTGCTTTTAACTAGCTTTATTCATTATAAATTTTTACTGCATGGGAGCTTGGTAATACGGAAATCTTTCAAGAGAGGCTTAAAAGGGCAGGATTTTTTTTATATACTGGTATAAGTTATTGTGTTCTAAAAGACACAGTTTCCTTGTTTTATGTATACATTACTGATAAAGCTCACTGACCATTTTTTCTAGCACTGTAATCTAAATCTCAGCTATTAACTTTATGGTACTTGATAATTTCAGAAAGATCGTAAGAAACGTATGCTTGTTGCTGATGACTCCAGTGACGAAGAGAATGATGATGTTGAGAAGCTGTCAGCTCAGAGGCCAAGGTCAATATCTGGTGATGATCTTGGTGATTCCTTTTCTCTTTATGAAGAGCCTGGGACTGCAAAGGGCTGGGTTGATGAGATTCTTGCAAGAAAGGAGGCAAATGACTCTGATAATGAAGATGATGATTCTTCTGAGGAGTCTGTGAGCGCCAATGATGATGGTGATGATGAAGGATCTGATGAAGATGCTGATGGTGATGATGATGAACATGAGAAGTCTACATCTTTGAAGGATTGGGAGCAGAGTGATGATGACAATCTTGGCACAGATTTGGAAGAGGATGAAGAACATGGTTCTCATGATGATGATGATGGAGAAATAGAGCCAATAAGCCACAAAAAGTCAAAGAAAACCGAACCTGCTGAGCCTAGGAAAGGAGATGAAAAATCTCTGGATGGAAAGAAAAAAAAAGCAAATCGTGAACAACATTCAACCCAACCAGACATTCCGCATATAATTGAAGCCCCGAAGAGCTTTGAAGAATTTTGTGCAATATTGGAGAATTGTTCCAATGAAAATGTTATTCTGGTAGTTGATCGAATTCGGAAAAGCAATGCAATACAGCTTGCAGCAGAAAATCGGAAGAAAATTCAGGTATGAATTCTTTGCTGTGTTTTCTTTGTTTTGTGGGTCTGTGCTTGTTTTGGTGGGGAAGGGTGATTGAGGGAGTGAAAAGCAACAAACAGGATTTTATTTCCACTTGTGTTTGATAATATATAGATCCTCACCAATTATGTCCCTATATCTGACAGATGCACATGATTTATGCAAACATGAGCTCTAATGTTCATAAAAAAAGAGTGAATAGACTAAAACTCATACCAGGTGTACATGGCTTGCACAGAAAGTTGACAATTGATAAGAAGAAAACAGCACATCCAAAGAGTCAAACAATGAAAGAAGCTTTATGGCGGTTGCATTAATGTGGTTTTGCTTTTGCTAGGAACTAGTGCTTTAATAAGCATGATATAAGTTTTGAGTGACAGTTTTGTGTTGACAATGACAGGGAATACAGATTGTGCAACTATAGTATAATGTGTGTCTTTGTGTGACTCTAAGAGTAAGTGTGTGTGGCTGCTCTTTGCTATTGTGTAAATAACAATCGGTTTCCACCCAGGTATTTTATGGTGTGCTATTACAGTATTTTGCTGTATTAGCAAATAAAAAGCCCTTGAATATTGAGTTATTGAATTTGCTAGTCAAGCCACTGATGGAGATGAGCGTGGAGATTCCATACTTTTCTGCAATATGTGCTCGTCAGCGAATCTTACGAACTCGTGCACAATTTTGTGAGGCTCTGAAGAATACAGGTTGGTTGTAATATGATTTGAGAATTGATGGTCTTTCCACTTTCATTCCGAGTTTCTTAGTGTTGTGCATATCTCTAACTGAAAGTTATTGTTCCGGCAGAGAATAGTTGCTGGCCTTCTATGAAAACGCTCTCTCTCTTGAGGTTGTGGTCCATGATCTTTCCTTGCTCCGACTTTCGGCATGTTGTCATGACCCCAGTAATACTGTTGATGTCTGAATATCTGATGCGCTGTCCCATCTTGTCGGGGCGTGATATTGCAATTGGTTCTTTCTTATGTACCATGGTTCTCTCTGTATGTCTTTCTTGCCCATCTATTCATTTATACAAGAATTTTATATCAACCTCCTTGATTGTTGTTTGCTTCTGGAAAGGTTTTCAACTTGTAATTGGTGGTTTAAAGTGCCTAAGCACTTGCAGGCATACCTGAAATGCGTTTCTTTCCAGTCAGAACTTTATTACTCCTGTCCCACAAATATTGGCCCTTTTGCAAATACAAATGTTTTTATGAAACATCAATTAATCCAATAATTAATGTTGTCCATAGTGTGTTGTTCCTTTTTTATACATTAATTAATGTGTTCCTTTTAAACTTGAGTAGTCAATTTTCATCAAATACTAAAGGATATAATAGGAAACTCAATTTTTACAAAACATCGACTTCAAAGTGGCCAAAAAAATCAGGACACCTAAAATTTGCAAAAGGGCCAATATTTGGGGGACTGTATTTATTTGAGTAGCCTGTATCTTGATTTAATTCTCACCCGACCTCTTTCAAGAGTGCTGCAGTGGCAGCATTACAAACACTCTCATTTAGGCTTTAAGTATTGATTGTAGTATCCTTTGCAGATCACTAAACAATCTCAGAAGTTCTGTCCTGAAGCCATAATGTTTCTCCGAACTTTGCTGATGGCAACTACAGAAAGAAAACCATCTTCTTATCAGGAATCCCAGGTACAGAACTCCCTGATGCATTGTGGTTTTTACTGCACTTGCCATTCTATCTTTCCTAATTTATGCCACCCCACCATGATAAGAAAAAATTGCTCTCAACAACGTGTGCTTGCTATTCATGTGTACCTGAAAAAGAGCCACACTATTTTTGGTATTATGAAGAAATTAATGTTAATTGTGTGTACTATGGCAGTTTTATCATCTTATGGAACTAAAAGAACTCAAGCCCTTGCTGCATATTCATGATCATGTAAATGAGATTCGTCCTCTGAATTTCCTCATGGTAATGGACATGAAAGAGGACGCTTCATTTTTCAGCTCAGATGATTTCAGGTTTGTAGAGATTTTGTTTCTGCGATGGTGCTTAATGCAGACAGGGATTTTTTTCAGTGGCATTGTGGCCTCACTCTGTATTCCTGTATTTTAGTTTTTATGAACCTTGCAATTGCCATCATTAGTTAATTTAATTTGTTGCTTACAAATGCATGCCAATCCTAGAATGTTCATGGTATTGCTTTAGATCATTTGATGCAATCCAACAGTATTGAGGAGTTCTATTACTATTCTTCCTCAAATCTGTCTTCATATCCACTGTGTGCTAATCTATCAAAAATGAATTTTATGCATGCAGGGTTGGTGTGCTGGTTACCATGGTAGAAACTCTTCAAGGGTTTGTTGACATTTATAAAGAGTTGAGTTCCTTTCCTGAAATTTTCTTGCCTATTTCAATGTTATTGCTTGAGGTAGCACAACAGGAAAACATGCCAGCAACGTTACAAGATAAATTCAAAGATGTTGCCGAACTTATTAATAAGAAGGCCAACAAACATCATATGATGCGGAAACCCCTACAAATGCAGAAAAAGAAGCCAGTTCCCATCAAATTAGTTGCTCCAAAATTTGAGGAGAAGTAATTAATATTTCTTTCACCTCTTATTTTCTTGTGTTGGTCATAGCATGGCATGTTGCTAAACATCTTGTGCAATTTTGTGCTGCAGTTTTGTGAAGGGTAGAGATTATGACCCAGACCGTGAACGGGCTGAAAGGAGAAAGTTAAAGAAACTCGTAAAACGAGAAGCTAAAGGGGCAGCTCGTGAACTGCGCAAGGACAATTATTTCTTATTTGAGGTGAAGGAAAAGGATAAGGCACTGCTGGAGGATGAAAGAGCAGAGAATTATGGAAAGGCGAGGGCTTTCCTCCAAGAACAAGAACACGCGTTCAAATCTGGGCAATTAGGAAAGGGAAAAGGGAGGAAGAGAAGAAGATGAAGCTGATTCTGCTGTTTGTTTTACTTATGTGTTTCCCTTTATTATTTTTTGTTAGGGTAACATTCTCTGATATGTAGAAATTACTGCCACTCCAGAAATGAAATTTCATTAATATTCGGGGATAACAATTCAGCTAAACAAGTCACGTTTAATCCATCCTTTTAGACTTGCTGTGCCCTATTTCTTTCGTAAATTGCCGTAAAAAGCAAAAATCCTGCCGTGGTGCTTTCAGTAATTTACAGTTAGTAGAAGGACCAGAAGACCAATCCCAGCCACTGCACCAACCATAACAGCTATTTCAGCTTCTTCTTTTCTTCCATGCATTATAGAAAACACTAAAATGCATGGGAAAATTATTACACTGCATCAAGGTACAAGATACCATGGATTGCGCTAATGCTCTGTTTTTTTTTTTCATCCCTCAACTTATTTTTTTTTAATAATGTCCTTATAGGACCAAAGTGAAAAAGGTCAAGAGAATAGATGAAAGTTGCAAATTTGATGTGAAAAGTTGTGTTTGGTCTTACATTTTAAATAATAAAATTCTTATTCCCCAAGATTTTGTAAATTAATTTTTGATACAAAACTTAGAAAAAAGGAAAAGAAACACCGGATTCTAGAGTAGAAAGACACGGAAAAAAAATCGTCTGCTGCAGATATTGCTACATTCATGATAGCTACGTAGCAGCCCATGTTAGAAAACCGGACACCTTTTTTAGCGGAAAAACTTAAAATTTGGTCAGTCCACCATCCGTATCCTTATGTCCATAATTGCCACCTGCAACCGAGTCCAAGTGATACGCTATCCATTTCTCTGTTTTTTTTTTTTTTTTCAAAAAAACCCTACTCTTCTACATCAATACCTTGTGCATCAGCAATGTGGGAGGAATGCACATTATAAGTTGAATAGAACAAAATTATTTTAAGATTTCTTGGCTTCAAATGACAGCGATTTTTGGGAGATTTTATGGATTTTTAACACTTTGATCCTCAAGTTAAAAATCTTCTGTGAAAATGTTTTACAACGAAGTCCCTCGAAGGGGAGTGGATGAGTCGTTGGGAATCGCCCTTCGGGAGAAAAAGTCCAGAAGTGGGGTCTCAAAGCATGATATCGAGGGAGGAGAGAGAAGAAAAGGGAGAGAGAGAGAGAGAGAGAGAACTTAGGGAGTTTTTCGGGTTTCTGGGATGCAATAAAATGTGTTTTGAGATTCAACAAGGGTTTTTACATGTTTTTAGAATGATTTTAGGTAAAAAAAAAAAAATATTGTACAAAATGGGTAGCAGCCCTCATTTATTCTGCCAAGAAAATGATCACCGGAAGTTGCAGGTAGTGATGTCAGAGTTGCAGCATGCCATGGTGATGGTTGGCGAACGACACATCGCTTATTACAGACAACCTTTTTTTGTTTAATCTTTTGAAGTTCCAAAACCAAGTGCCCCCAGCCTCGGAGCTCGGGCCTAGTTGTCATTGGGCCCATGAGCACAAGCACGATGTGCTCTACCTAACTTTCTTCTTTGTTTATATTTATATTTATATTTATATTTTCTCAATAATAATTATCTCCAAATAATTAATAATTAATTTTTATTTTCATACAAACTAAAAAAATATTTTTTTTTCATGACTTTGAATTTTATATTAATTCTCAAAATTAGTATAAAAAATCATCATGAAACCTCACAAAAATAATGATTAAATATCATTTTTTGTGTGACAATAATAGAAGTTTTATAATGATTAATTAATAAAAAATTATATAATAAATGGTTTTTAAATTTCATCACTAACCATATATCACCATTTTTTAAAAAAATTATAAATAATAAGGATTTATAGTTTTATATTCTTTATCTTATTATTTATTATTTGCCCAATATCAATGTCCCACAAATTAACAAAAACAATGAATTTTTTTTTTTGGTATCCTTCATACAACCTTATATAAAAAAAAATCATTATTTTTTTCTGGATTTTGACTTTTTTTTCTTTCAAAATTAGTATAAAAAATAGTCTTTGTTGTACAAAATAATTATTCTTCATGCAACCTATAAAAAATGATTAAATGTCAATTTGTTTTTGATAATGAATGAGGTTTGATAATTAATAATTCATCAATCTAAGATGCATGATTTTTAATAATTTAATGACAATACAACTAAGTATAACATCAATTTGTTTTTTTAAAAGATCAGCACTAACCATTAAAAAAAATCAATTTTTTTTTAATATCATATTCGGCTAATTACGTCTCACTTCAAAATCAATCATAATTCTTTGAGATGTGTAAAAAAAACTTCTCATTCAGAATTACGTTGATGTGAAATAATAATAATAATAATAATAATAATAATAACCATCAAAGCTCAAAAGAGAATAATGACATTTGTGAATGAATGGTTGATTAGAACTAACCACTTTTCCAACGTAGAATGTTCAAGCATCCTTTCACTATCGATTCTTGATTTTTTTTCAATTATTGACTTAGATAATTGATTACGTGTTCAACTTTTTTATTTACCAAGATAAAATATATTTATGATATATTGATATATATATTCAAGCATCCTTTCACTAAACGATTCCGAAGTTTGTCTGCTGTTCACACGGTTACTTCAACAACTCGACAAAAACTACACAAAGTTTGTCTGATCGTGGAAGACTCGCAGTTTACTTACCAACCTTTTAGAGTAGACCTATCATTATTCATCATATGGTCATCACTGCCCATTGTCAGCCATTAATGCTACGCGTAAGCACCATAGACTTCTCAGCATCCTCTGACTGCATATTCAAGAGTGTTCATGTTCATGCATGGCCCTAATTTCCACTCCATCTTCATCAATCTCTATTGACGACCTCCATCTATAAAGTCTATAATTGCAGACAATTATTGAAGATTGTTGTCAAGGAAGATTGCAATGCAGAAAGTTTTTAATCTCACCGGCCCTTTTTCTCACCAAAGAATGATAAATTCCCGTTTTCACCCACAAGAATTGTTCTTTCATCAATTTAATGCTACGTACTGACCATCGGCATAATGGCAAGAATTAAACCATATCATCACCTCGTTCTTTCGTGAGGGAGCGTGACAGCTGATGAAAAATGTATGTTGAAAAGTTATAGAGCACATCATCCTTTTCTTGGCTTATATATGCTCGCAAAGGGTAGCACCCAAGCAAATAAGATAAATAAATGCACTGAGGGGCTTGATCTAGCGGTGGAAGGGGCTTGTCTCCTTTCACTGCACATGGATTCGAGCCCTGACATGTACGTTCGTCACTCCCGCGGTGCCTTACATGCCTATTAGGTTTGCAGGGTATTCAGTGGGCCGTGGGGATTAGTCGTTGTGTGCGTAAGCTGGCCCGGACACCCCACATAAAAAAAAAAGATAAATAAATAAATAAATAGAGCCAAACATTTTACCAAGTCAACAATGCCTAATTGCCTACTATATTAAATTAAAATAAAAAAAACTAAAATGCCCCATCATTCACTGTGAAACCAGAGTTGATTTCAATAACAAAATAACCATTTTGTCATACCAAAAATTATCAAATATTTTTTGATTTCAACAACAAAATAGTTTTTCACCTGGATTTATTTGTTATTAATAAATTAATCTGAGTTAAAACATTTTTCTTGTATTTTATAACATTATAAAATAATTGAATTACCCTTAAAAGTTTTTTAAAAAATATTAAACTAACATTTATAGGTTTTTTTTTAAATCTTTTTATCTTTTAGCATAATAAAATTACTAGATTACTTTTAAGAGCAAAAGTTATTAAACTAGCTTTAAGAGGTTTTTTTTATAATTTAAATATTTTTTTTCTTATAATAAAGTTGGTTTATAGATAATTTGATATTTTGATAAACATAAAATATTAATAAAAAAAGAATTTTTCTTGATAGTAGTGTATAGTGATAGAACATCAGCTTTCGTGAAGGTGTTATAAGAGTTGCACGTGACACCTCCTTCTAATTTGGGATGACATGTATGGTGTTTTAGGCGATGGTATGTCGTAGATGATCCCTTATTTATTTTTTCTTATCTCTTTGAAATTCATGTTGGCTATTGAGAATTTTATAATTATCCTCTCTTTTACTAATATTTCAACTTTAATTCTTATTTATTTTGATTTTTAATTTTTGCTCTTAACTCTTTTATAAAATTTTAATTTTTTTTAATTTTATCATCGGATCTATAATTATGATTTGTTATTTTTTCAAATTTAGTCTCCATTCTTCTGATTTTGATTTTTTTATTTTGGATTATTTTTTAAATTTTATTTTTCTTTTCAATTTACCCCTTTAATTCAAAATTCTAGGTTATTCTCTCATTTACTTTTTATTTCAAATTAGGTTCTCATCCTTTTAACTTCTATTTTTTTAATCCTTTTGTATAATTTTTTTTAATTTTATGTTTTAATATTTAATTTGTTAAAAATTATACTTTGTGATTTTTCAAGATAAGATATTTTTAGTTTAGTAACTCAGGCTACGTGTTTAAAAAGTTAATATCAAAATTTTTTTAGTTTTTTTTTAAGTAAGTTACCATGGTCTCATAATCTGGATAACAAATTTTATCAAGTAACCAAGATATTTTTTTAAATAATTTTATTTTTATTTTTTATTTAAAATTAATTTCTTTTTAAATTTAAACTTTGTCGTTCAAAACTCGCAGTCATTTGAAGCCAAGAAATCCTAAAATAATTCTGTTCTATTCAACTTATAATGCGCGTTCCTCCCACACTGCTGTAGAAGAGTAGGGTTTGTTTTTTAAGCAGAGAAATGGATAGCGTATATTACTTGGACGCGGTTGCAGGTGGCCATTATGGATGAAAGGATACGGATGTTGGACTAACCAGATTTATGTTTTGCCGCTAAAAAAACATGTCTGGTTTTTTTTTTTTATCATGGGCTGCTACGTAGCTATTACGAATACAGCAATATCTGCAACCCACGATTTTGTGTGGCATCTCTCAATCTCCATAATTATCTCTAGAATTCGGTTTTTTTTATTAAACTATTAAATAAAAAAAATAAAGTTTTATATCAAAAATAAAATTTTAAAATATTAAAAGACTGAAAATTTATCATTTGAAAAATAGGAAAAAAACCTTCTCATGTCAAATTTGAAACTCCCATCTATTTT